GTTGTAACACACTAGATCACTTTCTTAGAAGTTCCCTAAAGGTGGGGGTATGGGGGAACTCTAAGTTACAGGACAGTCTCCCTACTGTGGATCAAGGACAGTCGTGGGACCATTTTTGATATGATTATTCATGACTTGAGCCAGATCAGATTATCTAGACTTATTGAACTAAACATCTTTGGAAAATTAAAGGTGTTCTTGGCCTCTTTTGCCAATCAAGTGGTCTTTTCAGGCCTCTCTCAGGTGGAGTCAAAAGCTCATCACTCCCTCCTAATACGTGTCTATCACTGTGCAGTTAGGGTCACATTCTTCTTACTCTTGTGAGGCCATGAAATACAGTGAAACGTGAATACACTCAGCTGGGCACTGGCACAGAGGCAGGGGGCTTGAACTTAATTTTATTCTTTCCTAGAGCATGCAACCATGAAGCTTCCTCAAATAGCAATGTAGAATGGCCACAATGCAGAAATAGTTTGTCAATCTTTTTCAACTTGAACTTCTACGTGAGAGCTGGGTTGTATCAACATTGAAAAAGGGGGGAACCTCAAACTGCTGGTGGGAATTAGAATGGGTTTTCTGGTTTTTTTTTTTTTTTTTTTTTTTGAGACAGCACCAAGTCAATGCCAGGAGTTTAAAAAATATGTACAAGCTTCCACTCCTAGGAAAGTGTAATATGGAAATAATCAGATGAATGGGCAACTTATTAAAAAAAATGCATTCTGGTGTTATTTTGCAATAAGTGGAAGTAACCTAAGCATCTGCCAACTGGACACATACTAGATAATTTAGGTTTTAGTACATAATAGAGTTCTAAGTGACCACTGGAATGTAAGGTGATCCACATTCATCACCATATAAGCAGGTTCATTGTATTCTGAAGTTAAAAGGTGGCATATTTTCCACCTCTATAATATATATACATATGCACGTGTGTGTGTATATGTATGTATAATCTCCTTACAACTATACTCTACCTTTGAACTGAAATCCCTTAATACATACACAGCACGTATTATAATCTTGTTCTTAGAAATAATCCAAAGGAAGATTTTTAGTCTTTCAAATTACACAAAGCCGTTACTTGCGAGCATCCCCTGCCTTGGGCCAAAATTATGTCCTTTCTCCCTTTGAAGTCGTTTCCACAGTTGATCCAGGGAGACAGCAAAGCAGTTTTCATTAAACTTTCATATTCAGAAGCTGAGGCCCAAACATACGGTTTTAACTATGTTCAAACATGTTTCTGATTTTAATTTTTCCAAGTTTATGGAATACTTAACATCACTGATCATTTTCAGTTAAGCACTTTGGAATTCCAGGGAAAGAATTTTGATGACATCAGCTGACACATGTAATCCTAAACCTTGCAATTAAATTCAGTCACGAGTTTTCTGCTTCCACCCTTGAGCAAATGCCCCTAATGGAACTTACCTCCTGTTTGCTTCAAAGAAAGAATATATGAAGAATCTAGCAAAAGCCAATGACTTTTTTTTTTTTTTACATAAGCTGCAATTTTAAAATAGTTAGAAATCACTTAGTGAAGCCGGAAATAAATTAAGTAGTTTTAGGGGGGTTTTTTTTGCTTCTAGCATCACCCCGACATGCAGAGCCTGTACAAGTCACCTAACTTTGTTAATCTCCAGTTTCCATGACGTCTCTTCAAACCTGAAATGCCAAGGAAAGTGTTTTTTTAAGGATTTTTAGAAACTAGAGTTTGTACTTTTGGGGTAACTATGCCTTCTAAAGTGAAATAGTTTTTCATTTCTTACACTTGTATTTATTAAGGGCAAATTTGTGAAATAGTTTTCATTCGTTTCTTACACTCATATTTATTAAGGGCAGATTCTCCCTCAGGAAAGTTTTTAGGTCCTTGGGATGCATCACAAGATAAAGATCCTTGTTTTTAGGTTTGTGATTTAATAAAACCAAAGAAGCTTAAAGTGCTCATAAAAATACAATGTGAAATAACCAGAGTTGAAGCTACAGGTATTTATTTACCATTTTATATTCTTAACCATTAGTATAAACCAAAGGAATGTAGTCAAAACAAACTAAATGTTTTCTTGGCCTTTGATGAGCTGGGATTTAGAAGGAAGCACACAGTGAAATGCTGGAAAGTGTGTGCACGGTCACAGGAGTCACCCAGGTTTAAGAAATCTACCCTAGATACAATTCAACTGGAAAAATTTTAAAAATACATCTGGTTTTTGTCATTTGTATAAGAATTAGCCTATTGTTTTAACCAAATAACCTATCATTGCCATACGATTATCTATTAATACAATTATTTCATGTATGGAACTTTGTAGAGTCAGGACCTGACGTTTTGGTCATTTTGGTTTCACATAATTGTCAGAATTCTCAGCAGACTTCATTTAAAGTCAGTTTAACTTGACAGGGATGTTCTGTCACTTTCAATTTTTTAATTTTTAATTTTTGTAGACACAGGTCTGCATTCTTTATAGTATTTAGTATATTAGATAATCTAATTCTTATTTCTCTGATCATTCCTTTTTGCCTGATATCTGAGTATTGAATAAGGCAGTTAAATAAGGTATTTAATAAGTAGACTATATGCTTTCTTCTGTTACAATTTTATGTTGCATAAATAGAAGCTTGCTGTATAAATAAAACAAGTCTGCAGAAGCAAGCGTTCAGTTAACTTTATATCCATATCCCTCACCTGCAGAAAGACCCCACAGGGAATCCGATTACCCCTCGACGTGGGTCATCGGCTCCTCGCTAGACCAGCCTAACTGGCCTCCAACAGCAAATGAACATGGCTCTCATCAGCATGCTGCTCTGAAGGGACCCTTGTTCCCAGGTCATATGAGGGTTAAGCTGGCAGCTGCACATCATGCCAGTGCTTCTCCCCTTTGTGTTTTTGAGACAGTCTTGCTGTTGCTAAGGCCGGAGTGCAGTGGCACGATCTCGGCCCATTGTAGCCTCCACTGTGAGTTCAAGCGTTTCTCCTGCCTCAGCCGACCAAGTAGCTGGGATTACAGGCATGTGCCACCACGCCAATTTTTTGTATTTTTAGTAGAGACAGGGTTTTGCCATGTTGGCCAGGCTGGTCTCAAACTCCTGGCCTCAAGTGATCCACCTGCCTCAGCTACCTAAAATGCTGGGATTACAGGCCTGAGCCACCATGCCCGGCCGCTTCTTCCCTTTGTAAATTGTTTATCAGTATCATGGCTTGGCACAAAACACCAGACCAGAGGTTAGAAGACGTGGTTTTGAAGCCCCACCTGGCCTCTCGCTTGAATGGGGAAATAATTTGCTGGGAACATCAGCTTCTTCTTCTCCCATGGGGCCGATTCTTTGATATTTTGTGAAGATCAGAATCAAAAATCAGATAATGTAGTTAAATGTTTTCAAAACTAGGGACAGTCCTGGGGACAGTCTATGTTTTCCTCATAACTTGGATTAGTGCATGCCATGTTTCAGGTATACAACTGATAATATTAAGTTACTAAATTATGTGTATTACTAAATATTAAAATTCATATATTTTAATAAGCAAATCTGGTGACCACAAATTACCTTATGAAGAATTTGGTGAGATGACTGGGGAAAAATCCTTGGTCACTCCCTTTTTTACAGTGGGACTAGTTGTATGTGTGAGGAGAGTGGGTACCCACCATGTGTAAAATGAGACTTAATTTTTTTTTAAGTTGTATTAAAGTAGAGCCTACAACAGAAAAGTGCACACATCAACAGTGGAAAGATTGATAAATCACCAGGATAAGAACATGTTGATGTAACCACCACGGAATTGCTTGAATAGACTCTTAAACATTGAATAAGTCACCTCCTTCCACGTCCCGATCACTAAAAGTCGATGATATCCCTAGAAACTTGTCAAAATGCACCTCACTTATTGCTTCAGGAATACTTTTGAAATGTCTGTCAGTGTTAGAGTTAAATATTCTAGTTAAATGTGCAGAGAATTAATCTTGGAAATAACAAAAGTCCTATTTTTTAATATGTAGCAACTGAGGAAATGGAAAAAAACACAAATGTCCCAGGATAGAGCAGAGGCAGTATGAATTGGAGGAGTGTTGTAGAGGGAAGATAGATCAAGGGGGTGCTAGCTAAGGCAGGAGAATGGAGAAGGGGGAGGGCACTAGTGCAGATACAAAGGAATTAAATGTGAATGGAGCTGAATTGAAATAACACTGAGGGTATTTCACAGATGAATCCTGGTCTGTTTCTTAATCCCTCCAGGACATTCTTCCATCTCTTTTCCATGTGTTTGATTTCAGGGTCAAGATCAAATTATTAGGAACGTTCTGAATAAAAAACCTAGGGATTAGCATATTGAAGGGAATATTCTTTATCTACATCAACAATGGAGGAAACATTGTTCCTTCCACCTGTGTTGACACTAGAACATAAGACTGAGGAACCTTTGCCTAGTCTTCAACTGTGTAACAAGGTTTAGAAAACACTGGACAAAGTGGTATCAAAGAAAAACACCAGGTCCCTCAATATTTTTTATTTCTCCTATTTCAGGACCTTACACACAGAAGCAGCTCAAGTTAAATGGTGGGGTGAGTGCAGTCTTGGCTTAGTATTCCAAAGTCACATGTCTATCAAAGCACCACACCTAACTCCAACTCATTAGAGAAATACTTGTCTTTAGTATATCAGTGAAGATGTTGAGAATAAGAAAATTGAACAACTTATTCCAAGGGAACTAAGTGTAGAATGAATAAACCAAGACATTTTATCTATTACCATTTAAGCGTAAATGGCAGTTTTGTAGGTTTTTGGCCGTGTAACAATCAATGGCAGAGTCAGTTTTCAATAAATGAATCAATATTTATTTCCAGGAATATATTGGACTCCATGGGAATAAACCATTATAAATAGTTGCCCTGCGTTTATCACTTACCTCTGAACTAAGAACATTCATAAAATGTAAGAATAAAGAACCAAAATACGATAGTATCACCTAAAAGTTTTCTAAATAAAACTGCTACACGTTTAGCACTGGAAAATATTTTACTTGTATTGAATGTTTGAAAGTAAATCAAGGAGGTGGCAAATGCTCCGATTTGCATTCAGAGGATGGTCAGCAATGCAGACAGAGGATCATGATCACAGGTTAACACGGGCGCTCCAGAGGGCGGCGGGGCTTGCCAGGAACGGTTTCTACGGCTGCCCGAGAGAACGCCCTCTGGGAAGGTTTCTTGGTGAATCCAGTTGAACAAGTTGGCTAATGCAGAGACGCTCCCCAGCTTTGCTATTGTTGCCAAGTAATCATCGCAACAGGATGATTTTGCCTGTTAATTTTGAATGAGCTAAAAGTGACACTGAACATGCTTCAGAAGCAATACCGTATTTTCTGGAATAGCTGCGCCATTGGCCGCGGGTGTTTGCAGAGTCCCCGCTAGTCCTTCCTGGTCAGTCGCCACCCTGATGCCCTGGGAGTCCCCGCTAGTCCTTCCTGGTCACAGTCGCCACCCTGATGCCCTGGGAGTCCCCGCTAGTCCTTCCTGGTCACAGTCGCCACCCTGAGCCTTCAGAAGCAATACCGTATTTTCTAGAATAACTGCGTCATCGGCCGCAGCACCGCAGATGTTTGCAGAGTCCCCGCTAGTCCTTCCTGATCACAGTCCCCACCCTGATGCTCTGGGAGGAGCCACATCTCCCCAGCACTTTCCTCAGAGCTGCGGCCACCTCTTGATTCCTCAAGCTGTAGATGAGTGGGTTGAGCATGGGGGTGAGGATGGTGTAGAAGGCGGACACCACTTTGTCCTTCTCTGGGGTGTGGTAGGAGTGGGGCAGCACGTTGGTGTAGAAGTCCGCCCCGTAGAACATGCTCACCACCGTGACGTGGGAGGAACACGTAGCAAAGGCTTTGCGCCGGCCCTCAGCAGAGTTCATCCGGTGGACAGTCAGGAGGATGCGCGTGTAGGACACGGAGATGACGGACAGAGGGAGCAGCAGCATCAGCACGCAGCAGCCATACATCAGGGTCTCGTAGAGCGACGTGTCTGTGCACGACAACCTCAGCACGGCTGGGATCTCACAGAAAAAGTGATCGATCTCTCGGGAGCTACAGAAGGGGAAACTCATCGTGACAGGAGTCAGCATGAACCCATCCAAGGAGCCGCCCACCCAGGAGCCGAGCGCCATGAATAAGCAGAGCCTGCGGTTCATGAGGAGAGGGTACCGGAGAGGGTCGCACACAGCCACGTACCGGTCATAGGCCATGAGACCCAGCAGGAAGAATTCCCCTCCCATCAGGGTCAGGTAGAGGAAGATCTGAAGTGCGCAGCCCAGGAAGGAAATGGTCTTGTCCTTGGACAGGAGGTCCTGGAGCATCTTGGGGACCGTGATACAGATGTAGATGGTGTCCATGATGGAGAGCTGGCCGAGCAAGAAGTACATGGGAGTGTGGAGGCGGGAGTCCACATGGATGAGCAGAATCATGACCACGTTGGCTGTGATGGCCACCACAAAGATGGAGAAGACTATTGCAAAGAGAAGCCCGGGGAAGGCAGGATGGGTGATGAGGCCTATGAGGACGAAGTTAGTGGAGTTCTGGAGAAGGCCCTCCATGCCCATGGTCCGTGAGAGCTCCGTGGGCTGTCAAGGCAGAAATCTGGCAGCTTATTTAATGACCTGACATGTAGGAAATAGTATGTCAGCAGCGGGTGATAAAGCAAAGATCACCTACTTCAGGATCATTTGAAATCCCGGTTTCAGTGTTAATGATCTGTATGATATTGGACAGAAAATTAATCTCAACTCAGTTTCATCATCTGTGAAGTCATGCCTGGTTCTATACAGGCTGGATGTGAGATGTAAATGTAGTAATTCATACAGTACCTGGTTTAGAATCGGCTTTTTATTTTGAACTATCTTCTGAATACGTTTTATAATCTTACCACTTTAGATTGAAAGTTTTCTGAGGGTGGTTACCGTGCCTTATTTCCCATTTTGCCTTGCAATACGTGGTTTGGGTTTATATTGCTCTCTATCTCCATTAAGATGATTGTATTAAGATCATACACAGACATCTACTTGTGACTTACGAAATTGGTAGAAAATATCTAAATAATTGACTTTTGGCTGCTGTTACTTAAACAGCTTTACCAAAGTCTGCAACCTCAAAGCAGTACAGATGACCTCATTTGAGGTCAGGAGCCGCTGTCTTGTGGTTAGACTTTTGTCCTGCAAAGGGAGTTCATGTTTTAGTCATGGATTGCTGCGAGACCTTGTGTCTATTTGTTCTCACAGACTAATATGGGGATCATAAATCTGGAAGGACCACCACAAACTGCTTCAGAGCAAGGCTTTAGTTTCCTTATCATGGTGGTCTTTCTGGTTGATGAATTCTGCTAAAATTTGATGACTCGATACTGCATCATATCACTGGATGACTTAATCTTCTCTTATTTAGCCAAAATGCTAGCGTTTCTCTGACAGAGTGGCATTCTGAATCCGTCCTGTTATGTCATCCTAGGAATCCATTGCTAGTTGGGTTTTTTCCTCCAATTTCTCTACCATTTTGCTGATCCTTCATGTCTCTGAAAATAACTACAATCAGTTGCAGTGGCTTACACCTGTAGTCCCAGCACTTTGGGTGGCCGAAGCAGGCAGATCACCTGAGGTCAGGACTTCGAGATCAGCCTGGCCAACATGGTGAAACCTCATCTCTACTAATACAAAAGTTAGTCGGGCTTGGTGGCAGGTGCCTGTAAAATCCCAGCTACTCAGGAGGCTGAGGAAGGAGAATCGCTTGCACCTGGGAGGCAGGGGCGGCGGAGGTTGCAGTGAGCTGAGATCGTGCCATTGCACTCCAGCCTGGCGGACAAGAGCGAGACACTTCATCTCAAAAAACAAAACAAAGAATCTATAGATGGTAAAGACATTTCTGAACTCAGAAGACAGCAGTATCAAGTATTCCTTGAACTAAGTGGAATGAATTCTCATGCTTTGAGAAACGTGAATGCGTGTTCTTTTGATATGTTCAGGGATATTGAGGGATGAATTGTTCCTTTTAGATTATGGTATACCTCTTCTCATTTTAGTGACAAGATTACTGAAGAAACATTTCTGTAAAACGTTTTGACCACCAACACTACAAATATATCTGAATCTTTTGGTTCCAGAATAGTCAAATTTACAGTCTCTGAAGCATCAAGGAGGAATAAACTCCCCTTACATTGAAGTAAACAATAGGAACAGTAGACAGTTTTCCTTCTTAGTGCTCAAAGATGGAGATGTGAGAGTAATAGACCTAAAAGATGAGTAAACTTTCAAAGGAAGAAAAAGAAAAGCAATTTTTATGTTGGTCTGTGCTGAAACTTCAATTAATCACACCTTAGTTGAGGAGGAAAAAAAAAATACATGAGCAAATATTAACTCCTGTCAAGCTTGATAAGAGTCAGCTACTAGGTGGCAGATTTTGTGATAGCCACAGCTTTGAGTCATGGGTCAAGAGACTATTTAAATATAAAATTCCATTTACAGTGGCTTTTGCAACAGCTTGTTGGAAATAAGTATTAATCTGGCAGATAGTAAGTTTATCTTGACCTATATCTATTAGTTTCACTTAAATGCATTATGGATATTACACGTTACTATAGTGTTAGCTTACAATCATCCTTTAAAAATATACTTTGAGAAACTGAAATAGTCAAGAATGAGACAAATGAAAGTGACTTAAAATAATTACTTTTGAATCAGAACATGAGCCAGAGCATTTCGTTTCATGTAAATAATCAGACTCCACAAGGTATTCAAAGGGGAGGCAAAACAAACTATTGCCTCAAATGCCTATGATAGGAGTAAAACCATTTTCAACTCCCAGATCTTATTCTCATTGTAGATCCCAGAAAAGGAGAGTAAAAAAGCTGAAATAGGAGAGATGATTTTAGCCACCTCCCTTATTTTTATACAACCAAGACTGTTTAAAAAAGATTAGATTGCTTGTGAGTGTGTTGTGTGTACATGTGTAGAGTGTTCATATGTGAGTGCGCATGGTATGGGTGGGGATGTGTGTAGGGAGCAGGCCCCGCTGAAGAGCGGAACACTACACTGCTCGCTCGGCACAAACGAGCAATTCACCCATTTCAATGAAGCCAATATTGAGAACCAAATGTGACATGTTCAAATGTGAGCCTGATATTGTTCCATAGGATACTGGGCATTGCACGTAGGCAGAGAAAGTATCTGCATTATGAAAAAATTTGTTATCAGTTACTTTTTAAGTCAGTTCGTCATCTAAAATGTTAACATTCGAGTTGATGCTATTTAACATGATGTGTGGTTTGGCTTCTTCTCACACTCAAGATCCTAGATTCCATTCCCCATCAGGTCATCTTTCCTCCACTATCATTCTCCACTCTAAGACCTTTGGGTTTTTTCCTATTTCCCTCATCTAGTCTTTCCCAAAATAAAAAAAATAAAAATAATTTTAAAAAAAAGGCTTTTGAAAGAAAGGACGAAGACAAAAAAAGCTTTTATTTCCATGATCGAAGCTTCAGGCCTTTCTGCTATTCAAAGGTGGGGAATGCTTTGTCCCCAGTGCAGGTTAGAACATAACCCAGAAACCCTGACCCCCAGGACCAGTTATAACATCACTCAGTGTTGCAGCATAATTATCTGGCAGGAACGGGAGGGTGGGAAGATCAAGCCCAGAGGTGGAGGACACCGTGCACGGGAGCTCTGCGTCTGTTATCTGCACGCTTGGAGCTGATGGGTAAGGGATGAGTGAGCTCACCAAGAGGCATTTACTCTACCTGTGGTCAGCCACATGGCGAGAAGTGGGAAAGAATGAGAATCTCCCTGCAGGGCGCCAGGTGATCAAAGCTGGATGTTTCAGGACAACAGTGCTGGGGTTGTTCTGGGAGAAGCCATAGAAATCAAGCACAAATTGGTGACTCACTGAAAATTGTATGAAGATCTCCAAGGAAGGTCAGATGTTATTCTACCAGGAAGAGCTTCGTGCAATTCATTGACACCCCTTTCCGGGAATTCAGCATGACGAGAGCTATGAGAAGAATCAGCCAGTGTCCCTTCTGTGGCAATCAGGCTGCTAACCAGAGCTGACCTTCTCCACTTGACACAATGTACCTGCAGAGCTTTAAAGGGAGGGGTTTTCCATTCCATCCTTGGAGACAGAACGCCTCAAGCGCAAACACATTCCGTGTTGAAGACACTCACCTAATACTGTGTGAGCTAAGATTAATAGCAACTGACAATATTCTTAAGGGGTATATAGCTAAGTTTGATTAATGTATCATATCAAAAATCCTCATAAAAGCAAATCATTTTTAAGTCTAAAGTGGGGATTTCTAAAAATGAAAATATGTTGGGGACTATTTTAAAAGGTGTTTAACCACAAATAACAGCTAATGCCGTTGTGCTTTACTCAGCTGTCAAAATCGCTTTGGGGATGACATGCACAGTTACTTCTCCAGACCTCAGTGTTCTTTCAGTAAAAGAATGGATTAGTAACATGTTGGTGACACGCCAAAGTGCCACATAGCTCTAAGTCATCTATTCGTCACTGAATGAGAAAAAGGGAGGCAAGTATGGTATATTGGGGTCTGCTTTGATTAAAGCTTGTAAAGAGAAGATAATGGTGTGAAAGGCACTAAGAAGATAGAGGAAGAGAAACAGGAAGTTGTGATATTCCCCAAACCATAAAGAACAGGGCTTTACATGTGCCGGGTAGTTTAGTTTTACAACATACATGAAGTCACAGCAAACAAGATGCTACACATCAGCTTGAGTAGTGGACAGAGGTACAGATTCCCCTTATCTGTGGGAGACAGTTTAAGACCCCCCCACCCCCACCGTGGATGTCTGGAACTGCAGGCAGCACTGAGCCCTGTACATCCACCATATTCTATCCATGCATACATACCTATGATCAAGTTGACTTTATAGATTACGCACAGTAAGGAAGGGATTGACAATAAAATAGAACACCTAAGAATATACTGTGGCTATAACTTAGTTTGATGTGTCACAGCAAAACTTGGTTTTCTTCCTTCGTGATTTCAAAGAAAGTTTTTCTTAACCTAGATCTTGGCAAACTCAGCTTGAGAGGTTTAAGTCAAGAACTTTCACCTTTTTACTTAAAGCACCTTATTAGCCTCTCTTTGGCACATCTAAGTTGCTTCACGGCTCCATCTCTTCGGGGCCGTTAAGAAAAATCACTGAGTTACTTGAATCCAAGCACTGTGAGCCCGCCACAGTCGATGACCCAGACAGCTACCGAATGACTCGGGGCAGCACAGACAGCGTGAAGAAGCCAGACCAAAGGACGATCCGTGTCCTCTGCAGGACAAGAGTTCATCATACTCAAGGTGGTGTGCAATTGAAATTTGAGATTTTTCATTTAATATTTTTTTTAAACATGGTAGATAGCAGGAAGCTGGCAGATTGCAGGTAACTAAAACTGGAAATGAAAGTGTTAAAGAATCCCGAGTTTTCCTTTTATCTCAAAAAGGTTCAACCCAAGGGCTAGAGGGACTGAAATGATCTTAAAGCACTAAACTTTTAAAGAGAATCTAAGTGATCACTGCTTTGAGGACAGTGTATTTCAAGAACCAGAAGACAGGAGGAGTTAGTCCAGTTAAACAGTGCAACACCGGAGAGGGAAACTGGTCTGATTCCAAAACTCGAGACTGAAAGAACATGATCAAAGACGGTGTAAATAATGTCAGAAAAGGCTCGAAAGCAGGAATTAGGCACCTGGGGTGAAAGAAAGCAGAGAGTCCAGTCTAACCCACAGCTGAAGAGCCCGTGGAGAGCTGAGGTGTGTGGGGGGGAGCGCGGCTGGAAAGTGAAGGTGGAGAGACCAGAGCTCAGTGTTGAGAAAAGGTGTAAATGGGAATTGTTTCAGTAAGAAAGTTACATATGCTGAAATAGGTACGTACAAAAGATCTGGCAGTTTTACTCTCCACAGCAACCTAGTATTCCAAGGATGTGAATTTCTCTTTCCCTTTACCTTATATCTCCAGTTCTAATTACATACTGCCTTAGATATCCCACTCTACCTGCATATTTTTAAGGATTTTATCTTAAGGCACATGTGGATGCCTTATAGGGTAAATAAAAGAGGAAGGAGGTTAGGAAAAAAAAGGAAAAAAATCAAATTTTCCTCCAAGCATGCAGAAAGTCTTCAGTCACACCTAAATACATGTGAAAATACACCTAAATACAAAGTTAAATTGTCATTTAACTTAAAATGTAATGTAAATTTTAAAATATTCAGAGGGCAATCTATGCTTATCCAATAATATGCACCCTTGCTACCAGTTCAAGTCTGAAACTTTCTTTCCAGCTGTCAGCTCTCACACGCCATTTTCCTCCAGTAAATCTCTTCATATTATTCTAAACTTAGATTTCCCTTAGCTTCCCCACGTTTCATGCTAAATGCCCCTTTTCAGTCATCTGCTTGCCGATTATTGAATATATGCATTTATGCTTCTTGATCCTGAGAAGGACCACTGCCTCAAGTCATCAGCAGATAAGCTCACAATAAGGTGGCCTTCTAACAGTTACAGAGTAATACCTAAAGAAAACATCCCAATATCTGGGTAATGTTCTGTTTTTCATGAAATCTAAGATCCTACCTCAGAGAAGCTGGGTCCAAGTCTTTCTAAAGCAGCAGTGGAAAGTCAGACCTCTTAAATACATGTGTGTGGGGGTGAGACTAGGTCAGCAAGTCTTTTTACTAATAGATTCCCACATCCCCCAGGAAGAATTCCTGGGTTAGCAATTAATCCAGGTTGACTGGGTTTACCATGAATTTTAGAAGCAGCCCATCCTTTCTTGCAGAGGGTGCATTGTTTTCCCAAGTGAAGGACTGGAATTGTTTCTTGCTATTTCATCATGAAAATGTCTTACTGAATCTTGGCATCTCTCCAGAGATGGAGAAGTGATATGGGGATAAGAGCCTTGCTCTAAATTGAAAGTTAGATTTTAAATCTTTAGAAATACAAGCTATGACAAAAACTCTCCGTCAGTGGCCTATTTTGTTTGGGGAGAAATATTTCAAGTTATAAATATAAGTGTGAACCAAAGAGCATTGGAGCCAAGTCTCAGTGTAGAGGTTTCTGGTGCCGAGGTTGAGGATGCACCTGGGAAAAAGGAACACAAAATGACAGGAGCATCTAAGATTTGTGCTTCTTCCAAAGAGGGTTGGGGAGACTTCAATATTTAAAAGGGAAACAGTGGACATTTGAGGGGAAAAAAACGGTGGGAAGTGGGGGTAAATGGAGTAAGCGGTTGCCCTCTTTCAAGGCTTTGATCAGTGTTCACTGAATTCACACTTTAGATGTGAAAGGAGAGGGTTTAGAGGAACAGTCAGCTGGGCATTCACCTCCTGCTCAATCTGGATTTGTATATGAAAGGGACACAGAGGAAAGAGTCAAACACGCATTTCTTTCAGGGAAGTGGAGGGATGACCCCCAGGCCTGTCTGTCCACTGCCTCTGAAGATAAGCCACTAATTTACATTGTCAGCACAATATTCAACAGAATGGTTTTAAGGGTAAAGATCTTTGGGCCGGCAAGGAATTTCCTTGGGAGCGAATTGTGAGGGAGGTTCCTTGGGGAAGTATGTAACCTTCAACCTGTGTAGCTATCCATTTGGGGACAGTACGGAATCTGTAGCTATCCAGTCAGGAACAATATGAAAGTTTTTTGCATGACAGTTCCCAAGCTTGACTTTTTCCTTTGGCCGAGTTTGGGTCCCAAGAGTTATTTTCCTTCTACTTTCTCCTACCTTCTATTTTCACAAAGATATTTGTCACACAGGTTAAGTGTTCTTCAGAATTAATTTGTCTTATGCATAGTACAGAAGAACGTTGAATTCAGTAGGAATAAAGGAGACATGAGAAACTAGAAGAATGAGGGAAACGATGCAATGGGTAGAGAAAAGTGAGGGTAAAACAAGTTGTAAGTTTTCTAAAATTTTTCACAAGAGTATATCAAGATATTTAAAGATTAGGAAAATTGAACTTCCTAACATTTGTTTCTCTAATGGGGAAAAGTGGTCTGGTTTGGGGAGCAGAACAACTTCCATAAGAGTAACAACACCGAGTGCTTTTCATGATTTAAGTCAGCTAATGGGCACATGATCATTTCTAGTCATCACAAATCCATTAGACACATACCTTATTCCCTATGTCCTCCTAATGTTACAGATAAACAGAAAACCCTGTACCTCTTCAGCCTTTAGAATGTGATTCAATAATTCTTCCTAAAAATTTTTATATGTCATCCATAAAGTTCTCCAAGTAGCTATTGGATTGTTTGGATAGACTCTTCCCTCTGGTGTGATGTGTGTTTCTACAGAGCCACAAATGGGTTATGATCAATATTGATCCTCTACCAACCCTGGATTGGTCTCAGTGCCCGATTTGGCTATAGCCACAGGGGAGTTGATTTTGCTGTCAACAGCCAGTTTTCCTCAGTGTGCCATAAAACTTTTTACAGTTGTCATGAAAGTGTTTGAGAAGTGCTGCTGTATCAATTAGGAAAGTTAATACAAGCCCAACCTAAGGAAAAATAAGACCTGTGAACAAGGTATTGATCGGTATTAGTTTCTAACTTACATGTCACAATGTTTTGTCTAGTGTTGAATTTAGTTATCTTGTGAAAATAGTCTACATTATTTCTATGAAGTATTTTGTGGCATCTCAATCTTCCTATGTTTTTTTCATTTTTCGCTTCTCTTCCTTCAACTTTTCAAGAAGTAATCTTTTTATATCAGTAGGTATAGACTTTGTTGCTACAAGCCGAGAGCGACTCCCACAGTTTGCAGTTTAGATTCTCAGTGTTTTATTTGCAAATAATTCTGCCTGCTCAACTCACTCCACTGCGAAGTGCCACTTGACATTTAGGGTGAATCTATTTGGAAAAACCCTGCTAGTTACTATAATTTTTAAGTGTTCTTTCTAAATTTCTAAAGATATTGGCCCTCTGCTCATGTCTGAAAAACAGACAATCCATTTTCACACTGCTATAAAATACCCAAGACTGGGTAATTTATAAAGAAAAAGGTTAAATGGGCTCAGAGTTCCACATGGCTGTGGAGGCCTCACAACCATGCTGGAAAGTGAAGGAGAAGCAAAGGCATATCTTACATGGCAGCAGGCAAAAGGCATGTGCAGGGGAACAGCCCTTAGTAAAACCATCAGATCTTATGAGACTTATTCATCATGAGAACAGCATGGGAAAGCCCCCCTCCCCCCAACCCAGGATTCAATTACCTCCCCACGAGGCCCCTCGCACTATATGGGGATTATAGGAGCTAGAATTCAAGATGATATTTGGGTGGGGACACAGCCAACCCTTAGACACATTCCAATAAGTTCTTAACTGGAGGTTCTGGCAAAAAAAAAGTTATATGCTGAGGTTGCTGAGATCTACAGTAAGAATCATCTTCTATCTTTGAACTTGTGTAGAAGGAAAAAACATTTGTGGTAATTTTGCTGTCACACCTTAAACTGCAAAACTTATAGCCATGGTGTGTGATAAGTGTTTAGGGTAAGAAAAAAACACATTACATTTATGGTAGAAGATGAGCAAATATGTGTTGTGACCGACATCAGGTTCTATGCCTATGGTTTCAGGCTTACCCTGGGAGTCTTAGAACACAGCCTGAGGATAAGATGGTGACTGCTATCTTTGAAATATGATATTTGATGAGTTGATTCTTTATAATGGTCAATGGACAGTGTCTAAAGGGGAGAAGTCAGGAGAAGTCAGGGAAGCAGCTGAAGACGACCGTTTCTTTTGTCGTGACTGAGCGGAGCCAGAAACAAGCTACTCTGATTTTTACTGGAATGCACAACCTTGTTAAAAACTGATGGGCGACTACTAAACCCCAGCTTTATGCCTACGCCATCCCAGACTGTTCATTGTTCAGAACCTTCATTCCTTTCAAAAATGAAATCCTTAAAATCCCAGGCAGCTTTCCAAACCTCATAAATGCCCCACAGTTGCTGGCATGGGGGCGACTTGTTTCCAGGCAGAGAATATTTAAGTTCAAGGGCAACAACAAAGTCTTGTATCCATTTCAAATCTCTAGCAGCATATGCAGTTTCTTTAGAAAGTGGTTACCTTTCCTGAGGACACACACCTCCCCACCACCTTCTGTAGGGCCCCTGTGACATCCTTGTTTCTAAGGCTATAAATGAGTGGGTTGAGCATGGGAGTGAGGATGGTGTAGAAGGCAGACACAGCTTTGTCCTGCTCAGGGGTGTGGTAAGAGTGAGGCAGCACGTATGTGTACATGGCAGCCCCATAGAAGAGGCCGACAACCACCATGTGTGAGGAGCAGGTGGCCACAGCCTTTCGCCTCCCCTCTGCCTCACTCATCCTATACACAGTCATGAGAATTCTTGTGTACGAGGCTGAGATGACAGAGAAAGGGATGAGGAGCATCATAATGCAGCAGACATACATGGCTGTCTCGTAGGCCGACGTGTCCATGCAGGAGAGCTTCAGAAGGGCAGGGACCTCGCAGAAGAAGTGGTTGATCTCCCGAGAGGCACAGAAGGGGAACTGCATGGTGACGGGGGTGAGCAGGAAACCATCCACAGACCCTCCCAGCCAGGCTGCCGCCACAATCAACCAGCAGACCCTGCGGCTCATGAGGACAGGGTAGCGGAGAGGGTTGCAGACGGCTATGTAGCGATCATAGGACATGAGTCCTAGGAGGAAGAACTCAGCCCCTGCTAAGGTCAGGTAGAGGAAGTGTTGGGCAGTGCATCCTGCAAAGGAAATGGCTCTCTGGCTCATCACCTGGTCCACCAGCATTTTGGGCACAATGGTGGAAATGTACAGGATGTCCATGAGGGAGAGCTGGCTGAGCAGGAAGTACATGGGGGTGTGGAGGCGGGAGTCTGTGTGGATGAGAATGATCATGGCCATGTTGCTGGCTACAGAGGTCAAGAAGACCAGGAGAACGAGGGCAAAGAGAAGCCAGGGGAAACGGGCGTTGCTGAACAAACCCAAGAGGATGAAGTCGGCATACACGGAATAATTGCCCCGCTCCATAGCTCTGTAGGGTACACAAGAGAGACATATCGGTTAGGTTGGGAAAGGTGTCTGGATTTACCTAAAACATTATGAAGCAGTCATGAACAAACCAAGGTAAAGTCATCTTCCTGAAGCTCAACTTCCTGAGAGCTGCCTGAGCAGGATTGTGCTACATCTCATAGTTCAGGATGATTTTCTTGATTTGGTGACTACTATTTAGAGTTCATGATGAAACAATCTTTCTGTTCATGACCACATTCACTTCTATCTTTCGAGTACCACCTTACATCGGGGGGATGCACTTAAGGAACCAGCCTGATTGAACAGGAGAGGGTGGTGGGAGGAAAGGATTGTCCCCGTCCTAGACTGTTCTCCTTATACTAGACTCGAGTTCTCAGTTTGAATATCACCAAGAGTATATATGTTGCCTATTGAATAACTGCATTGATCTGACCTAATTTCTACCATTCTGGACACGTTTGTACATTGTCAAATGCGAGTGCTCAACTTCTATCAGGCAGCATATTTGAAAACGAGCCTGCGTTGAATAAAAAGAGCTGAGTTATGAGAAATCATTCGAGAATTCATAGGAAGAAATCACGGGA